GACCATTGAAGATTAAATGGAGAAACACATTGGATAACTGGAAGCAAACTCCGTCTGGAAATAGATGTACAAATATCCCAAAGGACGAGTTCCCTCGACTTCTCAAGCAACTATTTATGGATATGGAGCCAAACACGAAGGCGAACCTGATATCTGGCTTTTGTAAGACAGGCCTCGTACCTTTAAACAAACAAGTGGTACTGTCTAGACTCCCTACTACAACGATTTTTGAAAGTCTTTCCAGCCTAACCAATTGCGTTAGTGACACCTTCCTGGAAGAGTAGAAAAGACGGGGAGATAAAGTGACGAAACCCCAAGATACCGATAAGAAGAAAAGAAGGAAGAGGTTTAATGTTCCGGCTGGAAAAAGTATGTTAGCGGCAGATGTAACAGAGATCATAGAAAATGAAAAAACAGAGAAAGAAGAAAAGAGATTAGCAAAGAAAAAAGAAAACACTAAAGAGAAAAAAAAATAAGTCCCAAAAAGGCAAGAAGAGAGATAAAATAGAGGAAGATGACACCAATATCAGTGATTTTTTTCACTTCAAGTTTCTGACGACAGTCTAAATTTAGCAGTATCTAATTCAAGAAGAAGGGGATGACTTTGAAGAAATTCTCTGTGAGACTCCAAGCCCCAAACGAAGCAGTAATCTTCAGAAAAAAGCCTCAGACGATGTTGCTCGTTTGCAACAACCATCAACAAGTACAAGCGACAAAGAGCCAGTAGTTTACCATGTAGGCCTAGACCAATTTGTAGTGGTCAACTTTGAAGGCAAACTTTACCCGGGTTTAATAACAGAAATGAGAGGATATGAAAAATTAAAAATATGGGAAATTAAAAAATGAGAGGATATCAAAAATATTAAGCAACAAACTTTTGAAATTTTGAAAATTTTAAGATTGTGACAATTTTTATTTAAAACCCTATGCAAGTCTACAACTTGAAACTTTGAGAATTTGGAGTACACACCTATAACTATCAGATAAAAAATAATAAACACATAGTCAATTGCCTTTATATAAAAATAAATCGTTTAAAATCAGCATTCGTAACATCGTTGCGTTAAACTTTAAACAGGTAATTGGACCTATATATTTAGTTTTAAGTGCATCAATATATTACCATATTGAAGTTCAGATCTTTCTGAAGAGATTGGTTTTTATTTTTATGTTCTAGGATTAGTAGAACCAGAGATATTTAATTGTTAAAAAAACTCTATTACTTGTTGGCCTCAAAAAACCAAAAGGACAATAAGAAATGTGCTCTGGTGGCTAAGTAAGATGTGATGTTAGCTCCGGAAACTCTTTAACACCACAAAAAGAACGAGGGAATGGGCTAACTACTCAAGAGCCCTAACGGAGTACACCTCAGATATAAGGAAAAGCAAAAGGAAGACCTGGAGGTAGTTCTGTGAGGGGATTCAAAACCTACCAGAATCAGCCAGATTGCAAAAAGGCCTTCAGAGAGATGTGCCAAATCCTCTTGGCCTTGGCACATTAATACGAGAGGATGGGAGTCACACAACAGGCATGGAGGAGACTATTGAGGTCCTCATGAACACCCAATTTCCAGGGAACACCCCATTAGGCAATTCAACAGGACAACACTTGATACCCTGGAATAGGAAATCACCTAGGGAAATTGCAATGGCGAGATTTTCAAGCAAGCTGTTCAAGCCGGAGGTCGTGAAGTGGGCTGTAGAATCTTTTAGCCCTTTCAAGTCCCCAGGCGGGGACGGAATATTCCCAGCTCTCATTCAAGAAGGATTAGAGGTCCTTATAAATCATATGATAGCTTTGTTCGGGGGCAGCTTTGCCCTAGGATACATCCCAATCCGTTGGAGCAATTCAAGGGTGGCTTTTCTACTGGAAAAAGGTAGAGACCAGGCCCAGCCTAAGTCCTACAGGCCAATCTGCCTGTCGTCTTTCATGTTAAAGACCATGGAAAAAGTTATAAACCGCCACATTAGGGACGCATATTTAGACCCCAAACCCCCTAGTGCGAGCAAACATGCGTTCATGAAGGGTAAATCAACAACGACGGCCCTAAGCACCTAGTGGCAAAGATCAAGAATACTCTAGAACACCAGGAATTCCTGGCAGGGGTCTTCATAAACATACAGGGTGCCTTTGACAATGTGAGTTACAACTCCATGGATGCTGCGGTCAGAAGCAGGGGCATCTCCCCCGACTTAGCAGCTTGGATTAACGCTCTACTCAAGGCCTTTGCAGACGACCTAGTGCTGCCTGTCAGAGCAAGAGATTAAAATCCTAAAACAACTGATTTTGATAGCTAATGAATGAAAAGAATTAAAAATCCATAAAATAAAGCCAAACAATATTACAATTAATTAGGTACTCGAAAAGTAACTCTTAAATAATATATAGAAGATTTAAATAATATTAAATCAAGAGATAAGAAAGTTAAATGCTAACTTCTAGTGCCCTTAGCAACACAGGTCAATGTTTTTAAACTACCCTTAATGTTTTTGGAACAGCAGGGTCTTTTTCTCTGAAGGAAGGGTAGTAGTATGTCAACAAAAACAATGAATCACTCTCACCAGCCAGGCCCGGGCAACGATGTGTGCATTCAAGGTCATAGACCCTCCCCCTCCCCTCTTACAAAACCCGGTTGCTTCAATTGCTGACAAGATGCAAGTGATGAAACAAGGAAGTACAGTAGACTCCCTCTTATCCAGACTCCTCGGGACCGAGGCCAGTCCGGATAACGGGTTTTCCGGCTAAACCGACGTCCCCAAAAACTTGTTAAAACGGACTGTTTACTGTGATATTCGACTTAAATTTAGGAGAGTGTTGTGAAGACACGTGATCACTGGTCTCAAATCTTTCCCACGAGAACAGACCTTTCAGTACTGCCCACTTCCTGCCAATCTAGTCCGGTTAAACCAATTTTCCGGTTAAAGAGATGTCATTTCCGCCGAGTGTAGTCCGGTTAAACCGATGTCCGGTTAAAAGGTGTCCGGATAAGAGGGAGTCTGCTGTAGAGACAAAAAATATATTTCCTTATTCAAAAACACAAAACTGTTACAGATCATTTTCAAAGAAATTAATTCATTGTAATTTGTGAGTTGTAAATATTGTATTGGATCTTAGAAATATATATTTTTTAAACCCCATCTAGATACAGATCTGTTTACTATATCAGATATTTCTTTTGTTTATATTATGTATAAAATACTAAAATATATTTTTAATTAGATATGGAATAAACAATAAATGATCAAACTAGTATGTCTGTATAAATAGTTTTTTTTTTTTACTTTGTTTTCTTTGCACTGTTAGTGTTGCGTCATGGCTTTTGTCTTGTCACTCTTGTCAGTAGACGACTAGACTGGCTCTGGCTAGTGGCAGAGTGCGGCAATTGCTCTGTTGTGTCTTTATTCTTAAAGGATGTGAGCCAACTTAAACTTTAATTCTCATTTGAACATTTTAATTCCTCTGTAATAAATAGGCCTGATATAATAGTGTTTCTTTGGAAATAAATTAGGCCTATTTTTTTGTTTTCTCTGACCTGACCTGAAAAATTCGGGGACCCACAGACCCCTAACAAAAATACCAAATTTATCAGTCTAAAACAGTGTTTCCCAACCTTTTTCCGTTCAGGGCACACTAACTAGAAAATGTTTGTAGTCTTGGCACACTTTTCTACAAAAATATTGTGACAAAAATATCATGACCACAGTCGTGTCCGCCGTGCTACCTGCGTCAGTGTGTCTCTTATAAATGTGGCCGGCTACCTTCATTAAATGTATTTTGTGTTAAAAATGTGTGAGCTTTATGTGTCGACGTGTATTTGTATCTTATAACGAAGACTTCTGTCAGATTTATGGACCAATCAATTTGATGACATGGGTTTGAAAATGGGTCATTTAGCCTATGACCCAAAACTAGTCACCCTTGACTATTTTAAGGACTGGACACGGAATAAAAAGGTATGGAACCTATCATATAATTCGTACATCAGTCCTGGTGGCAGTAATGTTTGAAATATCAAGGGATGAGAAGTACTGTTTTATATTTCCTTCAAACAGACACAGACTTTTCAAAACTGGAAACATGGATTCAACACTGACAAGTAATTCTACACAAAAGAACGTGTTCTCATGAACGCGCAACCGCACTTAAAGAACGTCTATTACATCAAAAAATGTTTAACTGCTTCAAATCTCGCGGCACACCTACAGGGGCCTACCGGCACACCAGTGTGCCACGGCACACCGGTTGGGAAACTCTGGTCTAAAAAATCAATCTTGCTAGTTAAGTAAGTAACAATTTTTCAGACTTATTTTTAGAATTTAAATATATAGATTTTTCAGACTTATTTTTAGAATGATTTTGGAGTAGCCTATCTTGTTTTGGTAAGGTTTACAGTAGTAAAACATGTCTCACACTGCTTACATCAAGACAAAATACAAAACCTCCCATCATTTGCAATGTCAAAACAAAAAATTATCAAACAATTAAAGCTATACTTAATGCAAAGAATGTATTAAATAAGAACGCCTTCGTAAAGGAAACGCAACATCAACGCGCTCCTGTATTGCGGGTATTGCATTGACTTTCTGCAGGCGTTTTTCGTATATGGATACTGACTCCCTCATGAATCAAATCGTTTTTTGACCACCACTGAATCGAATTGCGATTCGATGCATCGAATCGAATCAAATCAAATCAAAATTTTGATGTATTTTCGATGCATCCCACACCCCTATTAATTACCCAATTTTTTATTCTATGTGAGCAACCTCAGCTATACTGTGTACAGTTGAACAAAATTGACATAAATGAGTTGACATGGACCACTAAACTTATCTCACTTAAGTATAAGTTCCCTCTAGGCCTAGATTAGATGGACCAGAAAGTTTAAGAGTCTCACGATTACACTTATCCATATGGAATAGTCTAAAATTGTTTAAACATTACTAAGGTAGACTCAGGTTAGGCCTGCCTAAACAAGGTAAATAAGGATAAAAACTTACTTGTGACATTCGGGACTGAACCTTCTGAAGAAGGGTATCCAAATCCCTGGAGAGTTCAACGTCCTAGAAGAAATCATAAAAATATTTGAAAATATATATGTAATAGGCCTAGGCCTAACTTAGTCTGCAATTTTGCAACATAACTTTGACTAATTGACTGAACTAGACTGTTTTAACAAGTAGGCTATATAAGGAATATGTCTAGGCTATAACTTATTTGTAATGATCTTTCTTGAAGCTTTTGAACGCTTTGAACATTTCCAAGAGGATGAAGAACTCAAAGAATGAATCAGTTTTTTTTCCGGGTATGCCAAATGAAATAAAAAGCAACCAGTAAAAAAGGCTAGCAGTAAAATAACCATATGTACATAGGATCAATATGAATCTATCAATAACTTCACCAATAGATAGAGCACGTGCCCGCACGTGCAAGCGTATGTGTGTGAGAGCGAAGCAAGCCTTAATATTATCTGCTTCACTCACTATGTTTTATAATATTTATATTGTTTTACTTCCAAAAGGTATCGTGCTACTCGGGGCTGCACTTAAGTGTGCGCCCCACATTCATTCGATTGAAATTTTCGATTAAAACTGTCGATAACTTATATCAGTTTAAATAAAACTATAGATTTTAAAACATGTCAAATCAGGAACAATAATAGTTATAGATAGATGGGTATCTTACTTTAGTTAAACTACTCATGGTTACAATTACTTTACAGTGAATCATAGTAAGAATTTTGTTGATCCAGTAACCATGCCAGTTACACAAATAATCGAATCATTGTGGGGCAGTTTGAAAAAATCATTAGGAACGGGTACTAAGGCTGGCCATTTAGCATAACATTTGCCGAAGACTTATTTCCTCAAGCTTTATGTTATCTGATAATGATCCAATCCTTTTGTTTATAAAAGCAGTTAATAACAATTGTATCCTGGAGAAGTTCGAAAACCTTAAAATATGAACTAAATTTACTTTTGATCTTGTTGTTTAATATATTTAAATTATTTATCTCCGTTTTGTTTGGTTTATTTTGAATTTATTAAATAGGCATAATTGTTTATCTTCTGTTAATTATAACGTACTTAACATAGTAAACATAGTGTATTCATTAACTATGTGATCTAAAAACAACTGATAACAACCAATACTTTGTTAAGCGATATTTACAATCAAATTAAATAATGGATATATCGGTAGTTTTAATCTTTAAATTGTCACAATTACAGGAGGAATTCTGCGATTATTTCCCATTGGATAGCCTAGTCATGGAAAATCATTCATCTGCAATTGGGGCCAAATCCTGAAAGCCTACTGAGGTGTATAGACACCATGATCATCTTACACAATCACGACAAAATCTTGAAAGTCTCGCGACTTACAAGTCAGATAAAAGACTTAACTTTCATCGCGCTTGCAGCGAAACCTTGAAAATCTCCTGCGATCATCAGATCATCATTGTCGACTAGTGTGATCACAGCAAAATTATGGATGTTTCCCCCATAACTTACCGCCTTCATGGAGATGTCATCGTTGACTCCAAAGTCTCAACTAATTATCAAAAATATCACAGTTGTGGGTAATATGATAAATAATCTCCCGGAATAAGTTTAGGAATAGGCCTAACCAAGCATTATCATAATCACAATCTCGAAAAGAGTGAATTTTTCTATTGTAGGGGGCCTACCTTATTTAGGAGTAGGGTCATGTAATCGTAATTAGGCCTACATTGCGGTTGTAAAAGCTCTGCTTGGGCTAGGCGAGGCTAAGATAAACCGAGCTGCTTGGAAACCTTTATAGATAACTCGGGCCTAAGTAGCTGTTAATGGGACCTAACTTAGGCCTCTTTTAAGCATGGTGTTGTGTTTTCGGTCAGGCAAAATCGTCGGACGAAATCTAGGCCCCTTTTATGCAGGTTTTCCCCAAGCATAATCCGCTTTTTTTATGATGCCCACAGTGGGACGTGGCAGATCTACCAACTTTGTTCATTTGGCCATCATGAGACACTCAAGATGGACCCCAAAAAAGAAAACTTAAATAATTTAAATGCTTGCCTTGAAATTTTTTCCTCAATTACATTGCTTTATTTGTAACCTTTAATCCATCATTAGGCCTAATGATCATCTATTTACAAATGGTTAGGTGATAACAATCTGTGGATGAAAAACGTGGCTTGATTAACTTACCGTAGACACTAACATTAAGTTAGGCCTACAGTGGATGACAGAACGCGGGGTAGGTTGGCCGGGCTACATTCCATTGATGGAAAACACTGTGGCATAAAAGGGTGCTATTTTTTCCTTAGTAAAAAACACCCCAGACGACACTCAGCGGAGCGTAAGTCCTCTACGCAAGCCCTGGACAGATCGCCAAAACGCGGCGGGGAATCCGTCGTGCACAAAAGTGTACCATTTGATCCCATGTAAAAAACGTTGCTTAACACCCAATGGATTCCGCCCGACGGAAAACAGGCAACAAAACGAGGCCTTGGTAAATTTCTAGATTACGGCCGCATGAGATTTTTAATAACTTAGGCTACCAGTAACTTAATTTTGACTAAAATAAGTTAAAAACTAACTTAAAATTAAGTTAAGGGTGAATGTCAAATTGAGATGGAATTTAAGTCCCTGGACTAAATTGTATTTAAAAGTATCCATATATATTACCGATACCCTATGTTAAATAAATACCAATATTAAAGAGATAAGTTACTGGTTTTAAAAAATATATAGGTTTAAAAACCTAAAATGAATAGGCTAACTTAAGTGCAACTAAAATAAATGAGGGAAAATCATATTTAATAACCCCCTAATCCCTAACCATCTAGCAGACCGGTGGGAACGGGGTTTTTGGTTAAAGGAAAAGCCGATCAGAGGGAAATTAAGTTATTTTACAGTTAATAACACAACACAAAACACCAGGAGCCTAAAGTTAGTTTGACAATGAACCAAACTCCAGGTGCAAGAGGTTTTACATGCCGGCAGCAAGGCCTAAGCTTATACAACTCAACATATCTACTTGATGTAGGCTCCAAGTCCTTGCGCCTAACCTGGGCCTAGTGAGGGAGAATTTCGCCTCAGTGAAAATAAGGCCATCTATTCCTAGAAAGACGTGTCAGAAGTGGCCTAATTGTGATTTCTATGGGCCAGACTACACAAGCATATGAAACGCCGCCAATAGTATGCACAAACAGGCCTATGTCTAGGACTACACGAAGCCGACGATCAGCAGCTGATTGAACGCAAGTTGACTACACGAGCGTATAGAACGCCGCCGACTGCCCTCGCCCAATGTCATTGTGACTGACATTTGGACCATAGGCTAATATGGACAGGATACAGCTCGGTGTGTTGGTATGATGTTGTTGCAGGCTGTTAAGAAACGTCGGGCAAAGAGGCGTTGGTGGTCACACCCAACATAACTTAACGAAAGTTGTTCAAACACTTAGGCCTAACAGAGCAGTTTCAAGTAAGTTAATGTTTAATTCCCATAGAATGTACCCAGACATTTTTACATAACAGCCTACCGAAAACAAACATTTAAATATTGAGCGCAACAAACAATCAGATGACTACAACAAGTACTGCAGAATTGGACTCGCCCAAGTGAGGAGAGGGATGTATCCTACGCTACAGGCGGGCAACAATTACAACGTTCCCCGGCAATGGCTGAGCTCACATTATTGAAGCAAAGTTGTTGGCATTGGTGAAGGACATGACTTCCTTGCCCGCACCAGAGGCGCCGGTACCGCGGGGCAAAATTCCCATCCCTCGCACTTAAACTTAACGTGTTATTAGTGACAGATGAAAGAGTGAATAATAATAGGCTTACACTAAATCTGTACCCAATCTAAGTAAGTATCTGGGTAAGTTTTAAATAAAACTTAAGTAAGGAATAGGCTAAGCCTGTCACTTACATCTTGTTGTACTTGGAGGTGTTCGAGAGTTCTTTTTAGATTGGTCATTGCTTCCAGATAGGCCTGATAAATAATATAGGATTTGTCTTCGTTTTGTTCCATGGTAATGTATTTAATTTATGTAAAGCTGAATTTAATTTTGAATTGTTTAAGCTGAATCTAATTTTAATTTGTTTAAGCTGAATCTAATTTTGAATTTGAATTGTTTAAATCACTTGAACTTGAAAGAGATTGAGATGCAGGGGACGCCGACGCCGACTGAAAGCGGTGATGGAGGATCCAATAACGAAAACGAAACGATGGAGCTACATCGTCGCGAGATTTGCTGGAGAGGGCTCAGATTCAAAATGGCGGCGTTCAGTCACTGTTCTGCAGTGTTGCCAATCGCGGGGGAAATCCTCAATTTTCGAGGATTTCGGATTTCCAGACACTCGACGTTCTGTACCCACGACCACCTCAGCTTCCACAAGCACAGAAGGCTTTCGAACAGTTCCTGGGATAACAGCTATTTGTGTAATAGCTTCACTATATCTTTATTGGACCTGTTTAGATAGTTATTTTTCAACAGTTACAGTTGCGAACTGTGCATTGTGATTTTGTAAAGGTGTTTATTCTTTACTGTTTGTTTACTTTTGACTTGAGCTGCTTGAAAAGATGGTGCTGAAGCTGATTTGTCATTGTCATTAGGTATTGACAATTAGCCTAAATGTTTTGCGTGCATGAATTATTTATGAAGTTTTAAAAGTTTAAAGTATTTTATACAGTTTACTTAACCTATATTTTTCGGATTCCTCAAAAGAGAGTGATGGTTAGGTTAGGTGTTTGTTTGTGTGTGAATTTGTTAGATTGCAGTTTTGGTAGTGGTAGGTCTAAGTTATAAGCCACTAAGGTAAACTTAGGCATACTCTTATAAATAGATAAGTTATTAATTTAAATTTTTCAAAGGCATTAACTTAGACCTAAACTCCACTACTGAAATACCCAACTAACTTAATCAAAATAAACCAAAATAAATCAAAATAGACCTACCACTACCAAAACTCCAATCTAAAAAATTCACACACAACCTACTTACTCAACATACACCCAACATACCTAATTCACAATCACACGCAACTCAACCTCACTCAGTCACTCTTTCTTGAGGAATCCGAAAAAGATAGGTTAAGTGAACATTTAAAACTTCATAAATAATTCATGCACGCAAAATATTTAATTGTTAATACCTAATAACAAATAATCAGCTTCAGCTCACTCACAAAAATTTAATTTTCATAATCATAAAACACCTTTTCAAGCAGCTCAAGTCAACAATAAACAAACAGTAAAGAATAAACACCTTTAAATCACAATGCACAGTTCGCAACTGCAACTGTTGAAACAACTATCAATCCAAACAGGTCCAATATACAGTGTCCAATATCCAACAAATATACAGTGAAGCTATTACACAAATAGCTGTTATCCCAGGAGCTGTTCCAAGATCTTCTGTGCTTGTGGAAGCTGAGGTGCTCGTGGGTACAGAACGTCGAGTTTTCCAGACCCTGCGAGGATTCTGATTTTGCGAGTAATTTCGAGGATTTTCGGGTACAGCAACTAGGATTTTTCTGATAATCGAGTATTCTCAGTGCCTGAGTATCTTTAAAAATATATTGAAAATCCCTCTGAATCTAAGCATTAAAAGAACAGCGTCTGCAACTGAAAAAAACTGAAAAAGTCAACCAATCAAGATCTTACCTAAGAACAAGTAGATGAAGAAGAAGACAATGAAATGAAATGAGGGTGAACTTAGATTAGAACTAACTGCCGAACTGGAAACTGGACTGAGGTGAAGTGAAAGAATGGAATGCTCGCGAGCCTTTCTTTCAAGACCGGAAAATGCCACGCGTCTGCGCATGCGCAAGTAAGCGTTATTCGTAACACTTGTAACAGCTGCAGCTGTTTCAGAAAATCACACTTGTATCTCCACTGCAACGCTTGCAACAATCTACTTGAAACTGGAACGGTTCTCCCGCGCTAAACTCCAAACCATTTAATTACTGTAACTGAATGAAGAATTTTACAGATTATGTTTATGTATGTGTTACTTTACTTACTGTAACCTCTGGCACCTCCTTTATTTTATCAAATAAATTTTAAGTAACTTCTGTGGGCTACGTTACCGTTATCATCTATTTATCTATCCAAACAGGTATCTTCAACTGTATCCAAACATGTTTTCCAAAAGAGAAGATCCCAATTCTCATTTAATTTTTAATGGTCTAAGCTTTTTGAGAATTATTGGCATCTTGCTTATAATGGAATGTATAACTAAATGCAAATGTTCAACAATGCTAATACATAATAATTTATTTTATTCACTAGCGCTTTCAGAAACTAGGTTTCCATTCAAAAGCGCTAGTGAATAAAACAGATTATTTTATTGGCCTTGCCTTGTTGAACATTTAAATTTTCTTATACATTGCCAATATCAGTTATCTTGCTTATACACAAATAAATAACTTAGACTTAGACCGACTACTGATAGACCTGTTTCAATACAGTAATTAATATACCTATTCGCTATTAAACTTAGTGAGATAATTTAATCCTCCTTTGTTTTTATAATTAAACAAGTAACTTTATACCCATTACTATGTTATTGCCCATCTACCTATTTCAATAGTAAAAATATTTGACAATGGCAAGCCAAAATGCGTATTGAAAATTAGGTACAAATAAGTGAGAATCATAGACGCCCATAAGCGACTATATAAAAGGTACAATCACCCTAAAATAATATATATATTTTTTCCTAAGATGCTAGGCAAGAGCCTGAGATTGTTTTTCACATTACTTCAGGATAGACCTAGGGGTTGCGGCATTATCTCTTGGATAACATCCATTGGTAATTTGGCGGGATTTGAACCCGGACCTCAGGGACTGAAGTCTCGCACTCTAACCACTAGACCAGATCACTTCCCACCTCCAATTATATTAGGACTTCTATTAAGAACAATGTTAATTTGTAACCTGAAATAAGTTAATTACCAGCAAACTGTCACAAATAAAGAACAATCATTCTGAACCAAAAATATTTATATTTTGGTAGGCCTAATCCCAATTATTATTGTAGCTTAAAATTATGTGTAATTTTATTACAGTACTGGTGTACAAAGAAACAAACAAGTTATACTTCGCAACAGTAACAATTTTATTGATGTACTAATTATATGAACATAACATAAATTCAAAGAAACAAACAAGCTAGGCCCATAGTAATAGTAAAAAGTTTATTGGTGTACTAATTATATGAACATGACATAAATATAAGTAATTTGGTAATACAACCTTTTCTTTATGACTCGATAATAGTCAACATGTTAAAGGAGATCTAGGATTCATTTTTCAGTATGGCTGAGGCACATTATATTCTATCGAGTATTTTAATTTTTGTTTAAATAAAACTGAAAATAAATTTAACATTCAACAAACTAAAATTCATACTGAATTAACATTTTAAATTAATTTTTTGACCTCGAGATGGGAAGTTGGCAGATAGGCCTTTAAATATGAAAAATGTAATAAGATAAATACCATGACAACGATCCGATAGTTAGTGAGTAGTGACGGTAATGACCGTGACTTTCTGAAATAGCTGCTGCTACGCCACCAGTTGCTAGCGCATGCGCTGAAGCGCGGCATTTTCCGGTCTTGAAAGGCTCGCGAATGCTCAGCTCCATCTGTCGCTGTCTGTCAGCTCAGCTGAGCGGTGTGTTAAGCCTGTAAAGCTGGGTTCTCCTAGGAGTGGAATCGGCGAGCGGAGAGAGGAACGCGGAGAGCGGAATTGAAATGAACATGGCATTCCGCTCCGCTTCTAGAAAAACAGTAACATTAAATTGCCTAAGACAAGTGGAGTCCGCTCTCCACGTTCCTCTAATTTACCTCTCTCCGCTCGCTGATTCCGCGCCTAGGAAAACCCGGCTTAATTACGAAGTGAATGTGAATTCGAATTGAACTATTGTTACGAATTATTATTATTGTTATGAGGATATGACTGGGACCGATATGTGTTATCAACAAACTACCACACCTTTTAAGCTTTTTCACTTGTACAGAAACTTGTCGTTTGTTGGTTGCCTTCAGTTCAAATTTCCTTTCAATTAGGCCTCGCCTACGTAGTGAAATGATTAAAACCTAACAAATTATGATTTATTACTGAGCTGTTCATGATGATTGGGCTTTAAATAAATTATCCTGGCTGACGAAATAGCCTATCTTAGTCAGTAACAAAGTTACACAGATAATCTCACGCACACTAATATTTCACTCAAATTTGGGTAAAAATACGTACGTACCTAGGTGGTGTTCCCATCTCAATGATTTATAGTTTGTTAATTTTCAAAGTTAATAACAAATATATTATTATTGTTGAAGGTTATAGGTGTTATATAATTTATAATGTATTTTTTCAGGTACCGTATAAACACTGGTTTATTTTTATTTGTATAGTATTAAGACACGGCCACCTTATAGGTGGATTAGGAGCTTACATAAATTAATATATCCTAAAATATAAAAATAAATAGTTCATGATTTTTTTTTTAAGAATTTCGAAGATCACCCACTTATTCTTATTCAGATTTGACAAAGAGTCAGGGTTCAGGGATGGAAAACCTACTTTTACCATTGATTATAATGCATGCGTTAAATCATAGATAAATATATTCCATTATGTTGGTTAGTCTCATGGTGGAAGGAAAAAATGTTTTTCCTTCCACCATGAGACTAACCAACATAATGTTGGTTTTGATTTTTTCCTTCCTCCATGGGTTGGTCTATGGCTAGACCAGACCAATACTCATACTATTTACCAGAACCCATAATTTTTAAAGTAGGGTACAATAGGTTATGAATGTATGTTGATTATTTGCACCTCTAGTAAAAAAAAGAAAACGCGGAAACTTATATTAATCATGTAAATATGGGTAAATTTCAAATTATTTTAATCTTGGATGCTATCGAGGATTTTGCGAGTAATTTTAGAATCCTAGCGGGGAAAATCGAGGATTTCCGTCGTTTCATGCGGGAAAACCCGAAGAGGTCGGTTGGCAACACTGCTGTTCTGGTGTTCCTTTTGAATAATGATCTAAACTTCTGCATTGTCTAGGTCACTCACTGTCACTTACAACTAACTAGAAGGATAATTAAAGGCTAATGTAATATGGGTAGGCCACATACCTACCGCAATGTGTAATGTGTTTGAAATTTAAGAATATGTTAATATA